CGCGCTGCCAAGTCCCGCGCACTGGAAATCCCGACACCACACTACGGTGCTGTCTAATAAAGAAATAGGAAATGCTGTTATAGTAAACAATGCTGGAGTTGTGTGTGGGTCAACAGATCAGCGCACCTTTAATTGTCTGACGGGGAATTAACGGCATGCTGCGACAACCCTCTTAGGACCGAAGCCCCCGCTCAATTTGCCCTTCGACAGTCAATCAGACAATGAACAGTATTTTCTAAAGCGGCGGTAGCGGCAGCTAGGGACTACTTGTTCTCCATCACTATGAATCCTTCGGATTCATTTTCTAGAATATAACGTCCTAATACTCCATCAATCACACCATCGATCGGATTGCATCTTATAATCTCTGACTGTTCTATTTATGTTTGGCGCTCCGTACTTGGGCGCTCCTTAGTTTCTCCCTTCATCGGGGACTGACATTTCCCCTTGTGGTTCCTCCTCCTTGCCCGATTCTGTCCACTCTGATGTATCGGACGAGCCCATATCCTCATCACTATCCGTTGCTGTCGCCATACTAACCAGTCCGTCTTGCAGAAGCTGTTGTTGCCATTGGCGTAGTATGACTTCTTTTTCTCCTGTTACCTGCACGATGAATTCAACTTGCGATGGCTCGCTCCAATTCATTTGTCCTAGTATTTTCTGGAGGTCTGGTAATAATCCATGCGGGTCCTGCGCGGGAGAACCCTTCAATTCTTGCCGACGCTGACCTCCATTTATTTATCAATTCACTTCTTGAAGTTCAGTTCTTTCCTGTTCGGTAAGGCAGGATTCTTTCAGCGCTGAAGAAATAGTCTCAAGATTTGTCGTAGCTCTCTTGCGATTCCGGCATTTCTTCATCTTCATCTGTGACAGGGTACTGTCACACGGTTGCCACGCGGGCGGTGGCCAATCAGATCCCAGGAATAGCTTTATTGGCTGTGACGGCCTTGCTGGCCAAGGCCGTCTCATCAATCTACCAGAGTTTAATTTCCATCGCTTCCTACGCTTCAGTGTACGTCGGTAACGGGCGTCTGTTAGCCCGTTACACCTGGTAGCACTTCGTAATCCGTCCAACGACCAAGATCAAGATGAACGACACGTCGATGAACGACGCGTCCACGACGTCCGCAATCTCACTTGAACATGCCAGCTTCCCTCACCTGTTGGTAATCGAATGGGAAGCTCTACACCGCCTCGCAGCGGCGTCGGGTGACAGCGTTAACAAGGCATTACTGATGACTGGCACGGAAGAACAGCAGCGGCTTGCTGCACAAGAGTTCATGGTGCGTGAACTCGCTAACCTTCGTCAGCGAGTGTCGCCTCCCACGCAGACCAAGAACAAGTCCGACATCGTGAAGCTCGATGTCTCCACCTACAGTGGTGAAGGCGAGGGTCGCCTCCACTTGAACCGGTTTTTCTGCGAAGTGGATATCGCAGTCGAAGCTCGGCAGATCTCCACCGAGCTCGCACGTACGCGGTTCCTGTCCAAGTTGGGAGGGAAAGCAAAGGAATGAGCACTCGGTAAACTCGTTGCCGATGCATCCTGCTTCCCGACCGTGGAATCCATGAAGGCCGACTTGCGACTCGCGTTCGAGCCTCCCCAAGATGAAAGCATCCAGCGCTCAGTTTTCCTGTCGCTGAAGCAGGTCCGCATGTCCATGCTCGAGTACATCCAACGTGCACGACACCTCATATCGTGCATCACATCGCACCCGATGGACATGGCAACGCAGGTCCATGTCTTCATCAGCGGTATGAACGCTGGCTACCAGTGTTTCTATTTGACGAGGGAGGCTCCGAGTACCCTGGAAGAAGCATTCACGGTCGCTCTCCGCGAAGGCTACAGTGTGTCGGCATCGCAAACATTCGATGTCTCTCGTCCCCTGCTCCCAGCTTCCGAGTCAGGGCCAGAACCCATGGAAGTGGACGCAATCCAACACTACGGTGAACGTCGGCAGTCGACGTTTTTGACACGATCGCCTTCGACGCGTACGTCGCGTCCGATGAATGCTTCCGTTGTCGCAAACCCGGTCATCATGCGGCAGTGTGCCGTGCACCAGCGCCTGTGGTGGCGAACGTCGCAAGTGAGAACGACGTCGCCGGTGCTTAAAAAAACGGCGACAACCATTAGGTGCGGGGCGCCCCACTGGCCGTGAACGGAGAGATGGTTCTCTGGTGGCAGAACCTCCTCCTAGCTCTCCAGTGTTTCATGCACAGTTGTCATCCACCACCTCCGGTAGCGACTCGAGACTGATCGTGCTCAGTCTCCATGTCGTTGGCGCGAAGCGTTCGATTCGCGGACTTCTGGATTCGGGCGCAACAAAACAACTTTGTTCGCGCCGAAAGTTTGTCGGTGTTACCGACGGACATGTCTATACGTGAAGGTCCAGGTCACATGGTTGTGAAGTATGCAGACGGCAAGCCGCGACGCTCGGTCACCTTCTCTTACGAGTTTGATGGCTTTCGCGGGTCTGACGGCTTCATGATTATCGAGCTGAGCGGCTCGTTCGATTGCATCTTCGGGATCCCGTGGCTCGCTCGTCACCAGCCCCACATTGACTGTCCGTCCGCGCGACATTGACGTGAATGCGGTGTTGGTGTCCCTGAGCGGGATGCCCAACACGTGGCCACATGTTGCAGTCATGGACCCCGACTCCATGACCTCCGCTGCTCACGAAGAGTGCGATGGCCCTTCGTGTGCGGTGTGCGAACACGCAGCTTGTGCCGGTCCTGAGCAGAGGTCTCGAGACGTGTCCAACGTGGTTAAACAGTGGTTCCTACGTTCTGATGAGCAGTGGCTCTCGGATGATAATGATGTGGTTGAGTATGATCTCCCACTCGCGGTTGAGCATGAGTTCCCGCGTGTGGACGAGCGGGAGCTCCCTGTTGAAGTGGACGCACTCGAGTCGTGCGTCCCCCGTGTTCGCACTGGTGCAGTGTCCCGGTGCCCAAGTTCCGCAGTCATGATCGAGCGTGGTCTCTCATCGTCTGCTGCCGTGGACGACACTCCACGGCCTGTTCAGCGCCGAGGCCGCCGCAATCCCCGACGACCTCGTGTCGTGTGCTTTCAAGCGACTCAGTTGGCACTGAGTCTGAGGTCATCTCAGTTCTTGTAGAATCTTCGGGCACGTCGCGTGTGTGCGACATCGAGGTTGCACACCCTCCACGTGACGCAGCCGAGATCACGCAGTTGCCTGATCTCCCATGAAAGCATTTCCTGAGCGACCTGAAGAAGGGCGACATCGAGCAAGTGTGCATGCTCGTGCTCGAAGCCACTGCGTGTGTCGCAGCTGTCGAAGTCGACGCCGATGACGCGTCCGATACCAGGACTCGACCGAAAGGGGCCGAGCCGAAGAGCGCCCGTGAGGCGCTCTATGCTGCTCAATCGTTGCCGGCACTCGAGGCCTCCGGCAACCCTGTCGCTCCTCTTGTCCGGGAGTACATTGACATTTTCCCGGACAAGGTCCCAGCCGTCCTCCTCCAGATCGTGGGTCCTGCACGAGATCGACCTCGTACCTGGTGCCAAGTACTGTGTGACGCGGCAGTGGCCGCTTCCCGGAGATCAAGTAGAGGCAATTGATGCCTTCTTCGAGAGTCGCCGACAAGCCGGTCACGTACGCGAAAGTCTCTCTCCACATTCCAGTCCGACCTTCTGTGTGAAGAAGGCCACCGGTGGATGGCGGATCGTTCACGCCTTCAACAAGCTAAACGATACCACCATTCCAGCCCAAACGCCAATTCCACGCATGGACATGGTGCTCGACACCATGTCTGGCAGCACGAAATACAGTGCCATAGATCTGATGGACGGGTTCTATCAGATCCTCATGTGTGTAGAAGACGTGCCGTTGACCGCTGTCAGTACGCCGAGCGGGATGCTATGGGAATGGTTGGTGATGCCGCAGGGGCTTAAGAATGACCCGGTCACTTTCAACAGAATGGTGTCTAACCTGCTACGTCCATACCGAGAGTTTTCGCCCAGCTATTTTGACGATATCTTCATCCACAGTCCCCAGGACGGCATGATCGACGTCGAGGTACATCTGGATCATCTCCGCCAAGTGTTCGAGGAGATGCGGGAGAACAAGCTGTACGCCAATTTGAAGAAGTGTATCTTCTGCGCTCCCGAGATACCAGTGCTTGGGAGCTACGTCAGCAAGGAAGGTGTACGCGCTGATCCTGAGAAGATTGAAGCTATCTGCGCTTGGCCCGTGCCTCAGGACCAGAAGCAGCCCCGACAGTGGTTGGGGCTCGCGATGTACCTCCATCATTACTCGAAGAACTTCCCACTGACCATCCAACCGCTGTCTCAACTGCTGAAAGCAGACGCCACGTGGTCGTGGCGCCCCGAGCACCAAACGGCCTTCGACGGTGAAGACGAGTTTGTAAACCGTGCCCGTCCTGATGCTTCCAGATCACTCGAAGCCCTTCCATGTTGTGTGCGATGCGAGTGACTTCGCGATCGGCTGCGCCTTGATGCAGTTTGACGACGAGGGACGCGAGCGAGTGGTGGGTTACCAATCGCGTCAATTGAAGCAGGCGGAACGGAATTATCCGGTTCACGATAAGGAGCTGCTTGCCATGCGCTACGCACTCATCAAGTTCCGCGTGTATCTCCTGGGTGAGAAAACCTTCGCGATCTTCACAGATCACGCGTCGCTGAGGACAGCGACGAAGAGCCCTCACTTGTCCCAGCGTATGGCGCGCTGGCTGTCCCTGTTCTCCGAGCGTCCATTACAAGCCGGGCAAGACAAACATCCTCGCCGGCCCCGTTTTCGTCGGCCAGACTACGTGGAGTCAGGTCGCCACGCGATTGGCGACGAAGATGACGACGAGTGTGCTGTGTGTGTCGCCGAAGGAGTAGCTGCGGTCGAGGTTGCCGCGACCAGTCCACTACGCGACCTGATCTCGGCTGCGTATGGCTCGGATGCAGAGTGCGCCGAGATGTTGAAGTACCTGCGGGACCAGTCGAACACGGCACGACGCCGACTGTCTTCGCGTAGCCGCGCCCGTGTCGATCGCTACGTCCTGGATGGCAAGATGCTGACATATTGCGTCGACCGCTCGGATCATCCACGCATCGTCGTCCCACTGGACGACGATCTCCGTGCTCGTTTAATACATGAGTTTCACGACACCCCGAGTGGTGGCCACCTTGTACGTGAGAAAACGTTCGCGTCGCTGTCTCGTGACTTCTACTGGCCGCATATGTATAAGTGGGTGCGGAAGTGGGTACGCTCGTGTGAAGCGTGCCAGCGTGTCAAGCCGTCTCCGTCGAAGCAAGCACCCCTTCGACCACTTCCCGTCGCGATAGACCCGTGGTCCTCGGTGAGCATGGACTTTGTCTTCGGGCTGCCTCGTGACGCTCAAGGCCGCACTGGTGTTCTCGTCTTTGTTGACCGCTTCAGCAAGATGGTGCATCTTGCTCCAGTCGCTGTCTCAGTCACTGCAGTGCAATCCGCGGCGATCTTTCTCGAAATCGTGTATCGACACCACGGTCTACCGAGTTTGATCGTCTCCGATCGGGACCCGAGATTCACCGCTGCCTTCTGGACAGAGCTCTTCAAGACGTTGGGGACGCGGTTGAAGATGTCCAGAGACGGACGACCAACCCGAACGTGCAAACAGGGTAGTCGAAGACGTGCTGAAAAGCTTCTCCACGTCTTTTAAGTCATGGAGCTACTTCCTACCCATGGTCGAGTTTGCTATCAACAACGGCGAGCACGCGTCGACGGGGCCCACGCCCTTCTACATCAACTACGGTCACCATCCCCGGGTGCCAGCGCTCCTTGGGTTGGAGCGCTCGATGGCCCTAGGCGAGCCCGGTGACGATAACATCTTGGGCGAGAGTGGTGACTCAAGCGACACCGCGGTCGCTGGTACAATCGGTCGTGAGAGCACTCACGAGGCTGGTTCCGCGCTGGTGAACGGAGTCACCACTCGTCATGGAGCCCGAGACGCAGCACGTGCCATGCGCACGCGCGCCGCCACAAGAGCGGCACCAGAGAGATCAACCGAGACCACGGCACGTGGGCTGCGTGCGCGTGTCGCCGCGAGGACGACGCCTTCAGAGATCACCACCTGGGCCAGTCGGACGCTGATCAACCCGAGCCAGCGTCGTCGTGCAATCGAGTATCACGAGGCAACGGACGCGGTAGGTGTCGCCGCGCCACCTCCAGCGAACTTCGACCCCAATCCAGAGCCGCAGACGACTGACACTGCGGCGGTCAACGCGTTTCTTGACCGACGTCGGTCTGTTGCGCAATATGTTCGTGACGCCATCGTAATGGCAGTTGATTGACAGAAGAAGAATGCTGATCGTCGCGGTCGCAAGAGCATGGAGAAATTTGCCGTGGGTGACCGTGTGTTACTGTCCACGGTCGGCATCCAACCCACTTTAGTGACAAACTTGGGTGTAAACAAGCTCGCGCCACGATTTATTGGGCCTTTCAAGATACTAAAGGTATTAGGTGACGCCTACACGCTACAGTTACCTATTGCTCTGCGACTCCATCCGACCTTCTACGTCGGTCGTGTGGTGAAGTGGAATCCAAGAAATTGCAGACAGGAAGTGACTGGATCAAGTGGAGTGACAGGTACACCCGGATCT